CTCCCCCCTGCGGGGCAATCAACATCGCCTCTCGGGGCGCTCCGGGGCCGACCTTGGGCGCTCTTGGGGCCGTCTTGGGGGCCTCTCGGGCCCCTCTTGGGCATCTCTTGGGCCTCGCTTGGGGCCACCTTGAGGCCTCAGAAGCCCATCGGAAGCCCATTGGAAGCCAAAAGACGAGAAGGCGAAAGTCATTGATTCTCGTTCGGTGTAAGCATGTTGGCCTCTCGTGGGGGTCCCGAGGGGGCTCCGAGGGCACTTCGAACCGTCTCGTCGGGCCTCGTGGAGCTGTGCCGGCAGCTACCTTGAAACATTTTCGGCTATCTTGCGGCATCTTGGATCATCGGACGCCCTCTTGGAGCCATTTTTGGAGAGAAAACAACCCTCTGACACCGCGCGACCTCCCCCCTCCCCCCCCACCCCACCACACACACACAAACACACACACACACACACACACACACACAACACACACAAAACAAAAAAAAAACTCGGGGAGGGGAGGGAGGGTGCCCCTCCTCGAAGGGAAGAGGGCCTCGGAACAGGGAAAAGAAAGAACTCGTGAGGCCACCGGCGCGCCCAGGGGCTGGTGGGATACAAAAGGCCCGCCTGCGGGCCCCGCGGCCCCGTGCCCGTCCGTCGTTGCGCCACGCAGTTTGCACCACGCAGCTCCCACCACGCAGACTGCACCACATCACGCACACCACGCATACTGCTTCCCTAACTTGCACAGCATAAGTCACACCATATAGCTCACACCACGCAGCTAAGATAATCTATGTTGCACCGCGCAGCCTACACAACATAGCTCAGACCACACACACATGGCACGACTGAGCTCCCCCCAACGCATCTCACATCCACAAACCTTACACATCATAGCTTGCACCGCGTAGCTCACGCCAAAGCTTACGCAATTCTCCTCGCACCACACAGCTCATACAACAGACCTGTTCATCGCCACAGCAGTGCAGGAAGAGCCGTATGGGGCCCACGCTGGCTCACCTTGCTGCTGTTGCACGTGCGCGTGCTGCATGCCGGGTGCCAACACCCTGGGCGCGAGCGGGCCCGTGCACTGCCCCTCTGGCGGCTCCCCCGTCGGAGCCCCACATGCGATGCATGCCACATCCAGAGCCCTTTTTGGGCCCAACCCCGCTGGCTCAGCATACTTCGTGACCGAGCTCCTGGGCAGCCGGACCCCCCCGGCTCGCCGCAGCCAGGCCCTCGCCCGAGGCTCTCGACATGGCCGTCGGCAACGTGATCAGCCTCACCCCAGCATACCCCGGGCTGCCGCCGCAGTTCGACTGGAAGCGGGCGAGGGTGCCCACGAGCGCCGAGGACGCCGCCTTCTCCGACCCCGACGGCCAGGAGCCGAGCAGGAAAGGTGCCCGCTGCTCCCGCAGGGGCGCCCGCGGAGAGACTCCGGGCGCGTCCATGTGGAAGCCCGTCGTCGTGCTGATCTCCTGCATGAACATCATCGCGTTGGGCGGCCTCGTGTACAGCGCACCGTGGAAGCCGAAAGCAGAGCATGGCCAGACCTCTGGCCCGAGGCTGCGGCATCAGGGGCAGCGCGAGCTGCTGATCCCGCTCGAGGCCTCCGTGACAGCGGACGGCACAGTGTCCACGAGGTACCCGCGGGGCTTCCTGGCCAGCGTGCCGGCGGCCGTCAAGAGGTCGCTGCTCGATTCGCTCAGGGGAGATGCCTTCAACGAGGCCAGGCGAGCCACGGAGGCATCGGGACATCCACGTCAGGGTGCGGGCTCTTTGGTGATGCGGAATTCCAACGCTTCAATGGCGTCGCGGGGTTCCAATGTTACGAGGGAGTCCATCGAGTAGGGCCGCTGAGGCACCAGAGGCAGCTCCTGACGACACGTGCAATCAATAATTCAGAGGTGTGGTGCCCAGTCAATGCGTACGTTGATTGCTTGTCGATGTGCGAATCGCACTGGGCGCCAAGCTCTTCAACGATTCATATGTAATTTAAGTCGGCCAGCCTTTGCTTGCCACATTGTTCGAAGAAGCACAAACTTCAGAAACAAAGCATGAACATAAACTTTCGAGGGTCCGCGCGGATTTCTTGGATCTGCGCTGGATCCCCCTGGCGGCGCCTCCGGCGCCGCCCCTGGCAGACTCGGCGCGCCAGGGTGGGGGATCCAGCGCTGATCGCAGAAATCTTCGCGGATATACCGCTGTGTTTCTTCCTGTAGGCGCAGCCAGCGACGGGCTTCGCTCGCACGCCTGAATGGAACGCATTGCGCTCCGTGTTTGCAAGACCGCTCGCTCAGGCGAGCAGGGGACGTGATCATTCGCGTCGCCGCATCTGAACGCATGTTATGGCTGGTGCTACTGCGCTACTCTACGCGCCAGCAGATGGCTCTTGTGCTACCGGATAACGTTTGCAGGCAGAATCGGCATTCCGAGTTGTTCAATCAGCGTGGGGGGAGAGGGGCACCGCGTGAGGGGCAAGGAGGGGCTGTCCTTCGCGAGGCGTCGCGGATTGGCCCGCGTGCGGGGGTGAGTTCGGTGCGCTTCCGGAGGGGTGGGGCGGGAGGGGCCGTCGAGCGGAGTGGCACGGGAGGGTTGTCGTTGTACAACGCGGAGTAGGTGAGCACAGCGTAGCTTGTGCTGCGCAGTGCCAATGAGTTCAGTCAATGCACCTCTCGCTCTTTTTGCGCCCCCATGGTTGTCTCGCCCCTCCTCGTTCGTTCCTCCCCACCCCCACTGTCACCTGTCGGAGTGGCGGCAATACTACTCATGTGCGCGCGTTTTTGTGCACTAGCGTATCCGCACGTCTGCACACCATCTGGCACGAATCACTCATTCGTCCATCTTTGAGCGGAGTGATGTGGCCACATGTGGTGCGCACTTTTTTGCCGACGCTACTGACGCTGCGCTTGCATGTGCTGACGACGCGCATAGGTCGGACTGGGACATTGATGCCACGCTCTCCTGGCTTACCCTTCTACGTCGTCTCACCAGATGTCATGGGAGTGGGCAAGATGGAAAGAGCAATCTCATCCGATGCATGCTACATCGCGGCGTCCGTGCGGGCCATGAAACAACGTTTTGCTCGAGTGGCCTCGACAATCTGGACGCGAGTAGGCCCTTGCAATACCCCCTGGCCGCTGCCCCCATGAGAGGCCCAACTTCGACGCTTGCTACAGCAATGATCGATTCTGAATAGCATATGGTTGAATATGAGTGGTTCTGCACATCAATGGGCTGGGCATGTGTGCGCCTATGCCAACAAGAGTTAAAGATAGCGCGTCTGCTAATTAATGTGAGTGAGTCTGAGCATGAGGGAGCCTTAGCACCAGCGAGTATAGATTTGAGCGGGTCTGAGTAACAGTGGGTCTGAGTGTGCTTGTACCGATTGAGTGTGAGTGTGAATGGGCTCATCTGAGTGGATGGAATCTGAGCATGAGTGAGTATGGTATGAGTAATCATTGATGTGAGTCTTGATGTGGCTGAGTCCCAGTGTGGGTGAGTCTGAGAATAAGTGAACCTGGGTCCGGGTGAATCTGATTATGATTGCGAGAGGAAGGAGGCGGGAAGGGTTGGAAGATAGAGGCGTGACACGAATAAAAAGGAACACATACTTCGAATTGTGGAGACAAGCAATGCGGAAACCCAGCACACCGGCCCGTGATGAGAGAATATGGTTCCTTCCCTTCTCACTCACCCCTCCCATGCCCTCGCCTCTGGTCGGAATCCAGCCTAATCCAGTTTGATTCCACGTAGTCCGGCTGAATCCTGGGCTCAGTCGGGCTTAACCCACTTCAATGGCCCCTTAATCGGGCTTGGTAATCTCGGACCGTTTCTACGGAGACTTCCCATGCATTCATCCCACATCCTGTCGATTCTGAAAACCATATAAAATACACATTAGCCAGCGTGGCGCCCAAGACATCCTCCAGAGCCGCCGGCCCTTAGATATTCTCGATTTATCCTCATCCAAATTTGTCTTCGGCCTCGCTTCGTCTTGCTCTTGGATCGCTCCAGGATCCGAGAAGGTGCCCAGCGGGGGCGGAGAACGTCGGTGGCGTCCAAGGGCTTGGCATCGCTCGGACGTGTGCATTTTCCCTTCGGCGAGGACCATCGAGGAGCATCCTTGATCATTTGGCGAAAAAGCCACGCACGAGACCGAAAAAACACAGGGAATGGACGTCCGAGCGATGGCCAGAGGGGGTGCGGGTGACTTGAGGGGGGACCTCACAGCACGGGCCGCGATACTCCTCGGATCGCGCGGCCCCGCCCCCTTGACCTTCCAGCACAGCCCCTGCCCGCCCCCCCCCCCCCCCGCGGGCCGCGCACGTGCCTCGGGCCACGATGCAGCCGTGCCCCTCTTGGGCGCTCCCGTCTTGGGCGCCCCCCAGAAGGATGGGCAGGCCGCCCGCCGTGTTCTGCTTTGCTCGCGGCGCCGATGGTCCCGTCGGCTGCCGGCTCGATCTGCAGCCCCAGATGCGTCGGGGCCGAAGAGACGGGGGTCGGGGCAAGCGGGGGTCAGGCAGGGCACAGGATCCTGCAGGATCCTGCGAAGACCCCCTCTGGCTGACCCGGGTTAGCGAGCCGCTCGTGGCCGCGAGGCGGTCGCGCATATTGGTTGACCCGGGTTTGCGAAGACCTGCGTTGCAGGTTTTTGTTCCTGCATTGCAGTTTTTTGGTTTCCTGCTGACCTGGGTCTGGATTGACCCGGGTCAGAAGATCCCCGAATGCGCCGACGTGCACCTTTCGGGGAAGCGTAAGACTCGAGTGGGCCGGGACTCGGGTCTGCCGACGTGTGTGTTGGTGCGCGCGTCCTGGATTTTGACGGTCCAGGTTTCCTGGGATGTTTGCAGCGGGAGCTCGCGGCAAATGTCACTCTGGGTCTCGCCATTTTTATGGTGGCCCCGTCAGGCCAACCCGAGTCCCCCGTACCTGAGTCTTACGTCTCCGCGAATCTCGGGTTGCATGTCCTCCGATCTGCTTGTTCAATGCGCGGCCTCAAGAAGGTCCCGACCCCTTCCCAGGTTTCAGAATTCCGCCCCGGATCCACTGTTAAGTCGGGCCTGCCCCTCTACAGGGGGAATATTCAAAAATAGCCAAAAAATAGTATGGGGACTATTTGTTAAGTATTTCTGGGCATCTTTGGAATATTTTGGACTATTCTTAATTTTTCGAAAATCCCTTTGTAGGGGGACATGCCCGACTTCACCCCGGGCCCGACAACGGGCCCTGGAAGACCAGATCGCTCACTCGCTCACTCGTTCCATACTCCAGAGCGCGTGGGCGAAAGAAGGCAACACCAGCCTGTGATCGCCGTTTGGCGGGAGTTGCGGCACGACGGCGGTCGCATCACCGACATCGTGCGCGACAGGAGGAGTAGAAGGGGGAAACAACAAAGAAACGCATCGGTGAGACTGCCCCCCGAAACAACAACGACAGCTGGAAAACACGATGAGGCGTTCCAAAAGAAGGCCTTGCCTTCGAGGACCGAAGGAGAGTTGCCATCTCTTCCGCCGCGGAAGGCCGGCGGAAGGTCGGCGGGAGTGTAAGAATCGCCTCCAAGAGATGAACACGCTTTCAGGGATCAGGGTTTCCGAAATGCCTGCGGCACATGAGCCACCGTGCCGGCAAGTCCTCCATGCGGCGACCCCTCGATCGGCGCGCAGAAGGCCGTCACGTGTGACGCCTCTCGTCTTCACTTATATATGGATGCTTGCGAGGAGGCCCCTGGAGGCCGCAAGTCAGAGCGTGAATTAGCTACCCGCTTTCGCTTCCAGGCAAAACCAAGTCATACCACGCGCCTCCTCGTCAAGCGGCCTGATCAGTACAGGCCGTAGTCTGGCATCACTTGGCATCTCTTGGAAGCGAGGGTGGTCAAAAGCGAGGTAGGTTTGCTTTGCCCCCCAGCAGGAGGCTCCAGGCACGGGTCTCCGAGAGATCCGCCACACATCGTCGGAGACCTGGGCCGCTGTGCCTCTCGAGCCCGGGCGCCCCCCACAGGCCCGCGCGGGCGGCTGCCGCGCGCACACGCTGCTCGACGTGGCCCCCGGGCGCGGCGCGCCCCAGGCGCCAAGGGCGCCTCGAAGAGCCCCGCCCCGCATCGGGAATCCGCTTAAGGGCAGCGCCCATCCCGGCGTCGGCGCCCCGCCGCGGCGCCGACGAGGACGCCGCCGCCGCCGCCGCCGCCGCCGACGACGACGACGACGACGACGACGACGACGACGACAGAGCGACGACGACGACAAAGCGACGACAGAGCGACGACGACGACGACGGCGACGGCGACGACGACGTCGACGACGACGACGACGGCGACGAGGACGACGACGACGATGGCGACGGCGACGACGACGTCGGCGACGACGGCGGCGACCCCGCGCGGGCGCGGGCCAGCTCGTCGGCGGTTCGAGGATGGGGTCCGGAGGGGTGGGGCCCCAGAAGGATGGCAAGGTCACCGACCGCGTTCCACTACTCTCGGGGGTGGGCAGAACCCCCAATAGTGACACGTCGATTAGTGAAATGTCCGGTTTCGGTTTTCGAGAGGGCGCCGTGGCCGTTATTTTCCAGGCTTGCGCCCGCCAGGTTTGGGCCCCAGAAGGATGGAGAGATCACCGACCGCGTTCCACTACTCGCAAAAATCCGGAAAAATTATCCCAGTGCGACCCTACCTAGGAGTTGGAGCCTCTAGGAGAGCAACATTAGTGGGAGCGGTAAACGCAGCAGCAATAGTGGATGCCGTGCTGCGCTGTGCTATGCTATGCTCTGTTCTGCTATGCTATGCTATGCTTTTGCTTTGCCTTCGCTCTTGCCTTCACTTTTGCCTTTGCTTTTGCTTTTGCTTCGCACCCAGGGGACCAGGGGAACCGCCCGGGCAGGGTGCACTGCCCGGCCCTTCAAGCAAAGCGAGTAAGAACCCTTCTAGGCAGAGCCTAGGTAGGGAAAAAGTCGTCCTCTTTGTAATGCATCGTAAATCCCCCGCGAATAATCCAGGCCGTTTGCGAGTAGTTCTTTTGCGAGTACAACCCGCTGGATTAAAAAGTGCGGACCGGAGAGGTCGCGCAAGATGTGCATCTATGATCCCGTTCGGCCCCGGGGCCCCCGTACAATGCTGCAGAGACCAGCCCACAGGGGTTCTCTGGTCGCTCAGGAAGGCGATCCGAGAGTGCTTTTGGATGAAGTATTGGGCGGGATCGCGATTCTCTGGTTCTTCATCTTCGTTTTTATATGAAATAATCACCAAATGGGGTGAGGACTGGAGATTCGCGATTCCGCCGAATTTTTCTTCAAAAAACTCTCCGGTTGCTTTTCAGAGCAATCGGAGAATTCCCTGGCAACAGGAAATTGGCGATTTCGCTTAGGACCTCCTCGGACAAATTCTCCGGTTCCATTTCCAGCCACGTGAGAATGGTGATTTCGCTTGGGACATCCTGATAGCCATGTTTGTGGACCCGATGCATGCGGCCAGATAGTGACGATTTCGCTCGGCACTTCCTCGCAGCCACAAGTCCCGCCCCATCTGCTGTGGCCAGAAAGTTCAAATACCGTGCCGTTCAGTTCAGTTCGCGCGTGCACCAACGCGCCGACACTGCGGACTCCCTCTTCCCAATCAGTCTATTCCTGTCCGTCTCTGCCGTCTGACATTCGATGTGCTCCCCATTGCACCTTGTCAAGATCGGGGGAGCGTAAGACCCGGGTTTGCCAGGACTCGGGTTCGCCATCGTTTTTTGACGACCGCGACTCGGATTTTGACGAGGAGGAGTTTCGTGGGATGTCTGCAGCGGGAGGCCTCGTCAAAATGCAGGCTCGGCCTCGTCATTTTTTTGACGACCTCGTCGGGGATTTCCGAGTCCCCTGTACCCGGGTCTTACGCCCCCCTGACAAGAGAAGCTGCATTCCACAGGCTGTCGCCTCGCCCAGCCCGTCTGAACTTGGTCCCGACGGTCGTGCACCCTCCTCCTCCTCCTCCTCCTCCTCCTCCTCTTGCCCCCCCTCCTCCTCCTCTTCCTCCTCCTCCTCCTCCTCCTCCTCCTCCTCCTCCTCCTCCTCCTCCTCCTCCTCCAGGGGCAGTCGCTGTTTCGGTTCCTTGGATTCTGGGGGCCATCGCCAGGCGGCGCCGGGGCCGCGAGGCCGATGCAAAGATCGATCGAGGACTGCGGGGTCAGGGGCGAACGTAAGTCGACGCCCACGGTCGGTGGGCGACTGAGGATGAAACATCTGGAGCTCGGATCTTCAACCGACTCATGACGTTCGATGCTCCAGGGTGTGCGTTTCGAGGTTCCAGGTTCGAGGGCCCAGGGTCGAGGATGGAACGAGGGTCCCTGTTCTTCGATCCTGGCCTGCGGATCTTCGTTCCCCGCGTTCGCTGTCCGCGGAAGCGCGTTCCCCGAAGAAAACGCACCTGCGCAGCGGAGCACATGTCGGGTTTGTTTTATTTTGCGTCCTTTTTTCCAGCGAGGAGCCGCCGAGGGCGCGTCGAGACCCCTCATCGGGGTCCCCAGCAGCTCGGGATCACCTATGCCACGGCTTCCGCGGCGAGGGCAGGCGGCGGGGTCCCCAGCGGTTTGGAGGTCCCTGTGGGGGTCCGTGCGCGCCCTCGGCGATTCCCACCCCGGGGGGAGTCCGAGCGACTCGGCGCGAGTGGGTCCCAGAGCGGGCCGATTTTGGGGTTGGGTCTGAACGCGAGTGAGCCTGGATATGAGTGAGCCTGGGTACGCGTGAGTTTGGGCGTGAGTGAGCTTGGGGGATCGAATCTGATGGAACGTGCGCCCGGACGCAAGCAAACTTCAGTATGAGTGTGTCTATGCACGAGTGGGGTCTGAACATGAAGAAGGCGCGTGGGCGCGATCACGTGCGGTTACGATCAGCGGCTGAGTAGAAACGGGTTTGAGCGCGAGTGGATGTGGGGGCGCCAGAGTTCTTGCATGAGCCAGTCTGGATGTGTGGCTGCGCATCCGTCAGTCTGCGCTCGAGCAGGCACGGATATGAGCGAGTCTGACTCTGCCGCTGAATGGTCAGTGGATATGCGCGTACAGCCAAGACGCTGAAATAAGGACCGCTTTGGGTTCGGAAGGGGCTCGGGGATGTGGGTCGTTTCTTAGATTTATGTCGCGGGATTTGCTTGTGGCCTAGGCCCTCCGTGGCCAGAAAAGCCCCTTTGTTCCTTATTTGGCGTTTCTTCTGGTAGTACCTCGACTGTAATGAGAGTCTGGGTGCGTCGAAGCCTGCAAGCGGGGCCCGCACTCCTTCATCCAGCCGGCTGCAGTGGAGCGCGCTCGCCCAGAAGCGGGCTCCGGGCCGAGCCCTCGCTGCTGAAGGCCGCTCGCGCTCTCGGGAGCCTCCCGTCCTCGGGGCCCCGTCTCGAGGAGGAGGCGGCTCCTGGGAGGTTCGATGCAGCATCGCCGCGATGTAACCCCTGAGAGGCTAACGTTTAAGTCCGGCCTGTCCCCCTACAGGGGGATTTTCGACGAAAGATAACATATACCCCAGACATAATCCAAAAATAGTCCAACAATTGTCTGGGGACTATTTTTGGAGTATGTTTTGGTATTTCTTAAGTATTTTAAATTTTTCGTCGATAATCCCCCTGTAGGGGGACCCGCCCGACATAAGGCTAACTCCTGGGAGGGTATAGCTCCTGGGAGGCGAAACTCCTGGGAGGTTAGGACTCCTGGGAGGTCAACTCGCCCATCTTGGGTAGGATGAAGTTCCTGGGAGGCTAACATGTCGGGCCTGTCCCCCTACAGGGAGGTTTTCGACGAAAAATAAGCAATACCCCAAACATAATACAAATTATCCGAGTGCGACCCTACCTAGGAGTTGGAACCCCTAGGAAAGCAGCGTTAGTAGTAACAGTAACGCTAAGCTAAAGCTAAGCTAAAGCTAAGCTAAAGCTAAGCCACAGCTAAGCTAAAGCTAAGCTAAAGCTAAGCTAAAGCTAAGCTAAAGCTAAGTTAAAGCTAAGCTAAAGCTGAGCAACAGCTAAGCTACAGCTAAGCTAAAGCTAAGCTAAAGCTAATATAAAGCTAGACTAAAGCTAAGCTAAAGCTAAGCTACAGCTAAGCTAAAGCTAAGCTAAAGCTAAACTAAAAATAAGCTACAGCTAAGCTACAGCTAAGCTAAAGCTAAGCTAAAGCTAAGCTAAACGCTAAGCGAAAAGCTCAGTGAAACGCTAAGCTAAAGCTAAGCTACAGCTAAGCTAAAGCTAAGCTGCAGCTAAGCTAAAGCTAAAGCTAAAGCTAAAGCTAAAGCTAAAGCTCCCAGGGGACTGGGGGGAACCGCTCCCAGGGGACTGGGGGAACCGCCCAGGGCGCTTAGCACTGCCCGGCCCCTTTAAGCTAAGAGAGTAAGAACCTTTCTAGGCAGAGCCTAGGTCGGGAACATAGTCCAAAAATAGTCTGGGGATATCTTTTGGCCATGGGGGATTTTTCATTCTTCGTCGACAATCCCCCTGTAGGGGGACAGGCCCGACTTAAGAGTAGGATGAAGTTCCTGGGAGGCTAACTCCTGGGAGGTCAGATTCGTGGTCGAAAGCTGCCCTAATCTGACACGGTCCCGCTGTGTCCTGCTCAATCCAGGTCAATCTGGTTGCGGCCCACTCCTGGGCTCAATCCGAGCTCATCCGGCTCAATTCATTTCCAGCATGACGCCATTGTCCTTCATCGCTTTTACGATGACCCCCCAGGGGGTGCTTCCTGACCTTTGGACCGCCGAGACTGCGCGATGCACGTCACGGCCCGGGCTCGGCGCTACCCCAACACATCAACTCTATATATATATATATATATATATGTGTGTGTGTGTGTGTGTGTGTGTGTGTGTGTGTGTGTGTGTGTGTGTGTGCGTGCGCCGCCCCCCCCCCCCAGAGGGGCGCCGCTTGCGCCGACAAACCTTGCAGTATGAGCTCGGTTGCGGGCACTCTCTGGCCATCCTCTCTCGGGAGACAGTCTGCCGCAAGCTGTTTGCACGAGACACGTCCAGACGGGCGCACGCCTCCGAGGAGGGCACACGGTGCAGTGTGCGCCCCACGTGCCCGGGAGGGTGAACTTCGCCATCTCCCGGGGGCGGCGCGGGAGAGCGCGCGAGGCGGGGGCGCGCCTCGCCCTCGCCTGCGCGGCGTCGTGCGGCGTCCTCCCCTTCCTCTTCCTGCTTCCCCCCCTCTCCTCCTCCTCCTCCTCCTCCTCCTCCCTCCTCCTCCTCCTCCTCCTCCTCCTCCTCCTCTCCTCCTCCTCCTCCTCCTCCTCCTCCTCCTCCTCCTCCTCCTCCTCCTCCTCCTCCTCCTCCTCCTCCTCCTCCTCCTCCTCCTCCTCCTCCTCCTCCTCCTCCTCCTCTCCTCCTCCTCCTCCTCCTCCTCCTCCTCCTCCTCCTCCTCCTCCTCTTCCGCCTCCTCCTCCTCCTCCTCCTCCGCCTCCTCTCTCCCCTGGTGGCGTCCGGGACATATTCGGCCCCCCTCCGCGTATTAGTCTTTTGTTCAGGATTCCTGGGAAGCGGGTTTTCGTTGCTAGGTTTATTGTCAAAATGCTGCTCTCGTTGAAGCGCTAGCTTCATTTTCGGGCTACCGCTCGTTCAGAATGGTGCTCCCGCTGCAGCGCTGGCCTCATTTCCGCGCTTCCGCTCGTTCCGAATCGTGCTGCTGCTGCTGCACCGCTGGCCTCATTTCCGCGCTTCCGCTCGTTCCTAATCATGCTGCCGCTGCAGCGTTGGCGTCGTTATTTCCAGCGCCATGCCACGGCATGTTTCTCGATCCTTCCGAAAAGGCCTCACAATCTAGAAAATGACCCCCCGAAGAAACCATCGGAAGTGATGACACATTCGGTGCCTATTCGTTGATTTTCCCACTTTGGGGCGTCGCCAAGCCATGCTATGTCATGCGACGGGTTGCTCTTCAACACCATGCTGTGCCACGTAATGCTACGCCATGCTGCGACATCCGACTGTGCGAACTGCAAGGAGATCTACGCCCGGGTACGGGACGGGAGGGAGGGACAGGACGTCAGATCTGACGCGGGCGCGCCTGGCTGGCCCCTCCCCCCTCTTCCCTTCCCCTCCTCCCCTCCCCCCCCCTCCTCCCCTCCCCCCTCGCCCCTTCCCCTCCTCCCCTCCCCCCGCCTCTCGCACTCCGCCCCCCCCGCGCTGCCCCTCCCACCCCTCCCCCCTCTCCCCTTCCCCTCCTCCCCTTCCCACCCCTCCTCCTCCCCCCGCCTCTCGCGCTCCGGCCCCCCCCCGCGCCCCTCTGCCGCCCCTCCTGCGCCGCCGGCCCTCCCCGCCTCTCGCACTCCGCGCCCGCCTCCCGCCTCCCGCCTCCCTGGTGGTCGGCACCCGGAGGCCTCCGGGAGCAGCTTTTGGCAGCGCGCGCCTGCGAGGGGGGAGGGGCGAAGGCGACCCTGACCTTCCAGGAGGGCTAAAAAATAGCACCAGGACGTCGACGTCCTAATTCCTGTCGAGGTTTGAGGCAGTCCAGGTAGATCTATAGGTCTGGAGTGCTATTGTTTAACACTCGGGAAGGTCAGGGGAGGGGGGGGGGGGGGGGGGGGCAGGCCGCCCGCGAGGGCGGCGGGGCTGCGGGAGGAGGGCCCGGGAGATCACCCCCCACCAGACCGCCCCAACCAGACCCGGAGCCCTCCATTCGCGTGCCACTTTCCAGTGGGGGTGGGGGGTAGGGAAGCGATGAGAAAACCGCATGGAGCCCGTAATTCCCCCCCTCACCCGAAGTCCGCGTCGACTTCGGGCCTTCGGGTTGGGCTGGGGGGGCCTGGTATGGGCCGTCGGAGGAGTGCCCGCGGAGCCTTCCGAGACGGCCCCCGCCCCTCGGCGCCCTCCGCCTCTGCAGAGAGGCGCGCCGCAGAGCCGCGCCCGGCGGAGGCCTGCCTCCCGGCCCCCCCACCCCAGACGAGCAGGCGGCCCACACGCGTGGCGAGCCGAGCGCGCGCGTCCGGGCCGCCGCCGGCCGCGGGGTCGAGCCCGCCCCGTGGAGGAGCGCGGGTCTTCGCCTGGTGGGCTTGTGCTCCACTGCCACCACCAGAAGTAGGAGGGAGAGGGGGTCCCCCTCCTCCTCCTCCTCCTCCTCCTCCTCCTCCTCCTCCTCCTCCTCCTCCTCATCCTCCTCATCCTCCTCATCCTCCACCTCCTTCCCCCCTCCAACTAATCGTCGTGGTGGTGGAAAACAGGCCCATCATCGCTCCCCGGCGCCCCCCCCACCCCCTCCACGACGATCGGCAAGGGTGGCCCCTGGCCGGAGTGGCCTTCTGGTGGGGGCCCACCGGGGCCCCAGGATCGCGGAGCGCGATGCGACAGCAGCGGCCTGTGCGCCAGCAGTTGGTGCCCCCGCGCACCCGCCCCGAACAGCCGGGCACCAAAGGCTGCTCCTGCTTGGGGTCACTCTGGCGCGCAGACGGCCCACAATTCTCAGGCGAGGCCAGGCGTACACCAGAGCAGACGGAGGTGCCGTGGAGACCCAGACCCCCTCGAGCCCTGGCATATCACGACGGCAGGTTTTTCTGGATGTTCGGCTCCTGGGGGCCCGTACCGTGCCTCGGGACCATCAGAGAACGACTCGGGACGAAAAGCCGGTCCAGGGGAATGGGTCGAGCCCCTTTGGGAGTCGGCGTCTCGAAGCAATCATGACCTCGTGGGTCCCACCTCGGGCAGCCCGAGAGGCACGCGCCGTGGCTAGAACCGGGGCCGCTGCGACACGGCAGTGGGCGTAAGACATCTGTTTGCCCGCACGTGCCACGCGGGAGGTTCCCTTCCTCCTCCTCCTTCTCCTCCTCCTCCTCCTCGTCTCCCGATGTCCCTGAACATCCACACGAGCCCTGGGGCAGGATGCCCAGAGCTCGACGACGAACGTGCCCCCAGACCTCTCATCGCAACGTTTCGTATCGTACGTGTCGAGAGCACGTCCCGGAGGTCCGTCCTTGCAGGGCGATGGGGTCTGCAGGTCTCCAGTCGCGATGTTGGCACACCACGACCGGACACCCGGACCTCCTCCTCCTGCGCCACTTTTCCATGGGCCGGACCGGCCTGCGAGGGTCCCGGGGCCCGAGGTCGGGCGAAAGCGCGCGCTGTGTGGAGAAAGCTGCGGCGCCCAGACCTCGGGAGTCCCCAAACGGGGTGGTGACCATAAAACGACGCGAAGATCGGGACAAAATCGGATCGGGATAACTCGAAATCTCTGAGAATCGGCGGGTTTGGAGGATGTATTGGGCGCCGCGGCCGCTCCAGAGCGTTCTGGAACGCCCTGAGAGCGCTCCGGAACGCTCTGGAGCGATTTATCCCGATCCTGGCCCTGTTTTAGACCACACCGTGCGGTGAGTCGGTGGGGATTCGGGGTCACCGCGCGGTTTTTGGGACTCGAGGCCTTCGCCGAGGACGCCTCGGGCGACAGGGGCCTCCGGGGTCCCAAGACCGTGCGGTGACGGACCGTGCGGTGAGGTCTTGGAGGGGGTTCGAAGTCACCGCAAGGTCTGTCACCGCACCGTTTCGGGGCTCCAGAAGACATGAGGGTACCCCTGGGCCCTCCCACGCTCCCTCCGAGGTGCCCTGGGGCGAGGCCGCCCCGAAGGGGCCGGGCGGCGCCGCGGCCTGCGGGGGGGCGTTGGGCCACGCCTACGTCCTCGGCGCAGCCGTGGGCGAGCGCGTGCGCGGGCTCAGCATGACCACCCGCTACGACTACAGCCGCGGGGGGGGAAGGGCACCAGGCCTCGCGCAGCCAGTGGTGAGGCGTCCAGCTGCGCACAATCAGCCCCCAGGTCGCTGGCTGGCCTCAGCAGGCCCCGGATGTTTAATCCCGCCCCCTCACCATTGAGAGCTGTTTGTCTCCGGCCAAGACAGAGTTGGTCGGGGGCGAGGGGCGGCAAGACCGAACTCTTATCGCGGGGGGAAGTTACGAATCGAAGTTGCTATCTTCTTATGCTGGCTAGCAATTTCATCAAAAACCTGTGGCATGGCAATGGGTGTCTCACCATTTCAACTTTGGCAAGTTACGAACGTGTGGCAGGGCTGTGGAATTCTAACATGTTCAGCTTTCCCAAGTCACGAACGTGTGGCAGGGCCCTGGGATTCTCACCTTCTCAGCCCTTCTCGAGTCAGGAACGTGTGGCAGGGCCTTGGGATTCTCACCATTTCAGCTTTCCCAAGTCACGAACGTGTGGCAGGGCCATCCTCGTCGTCGTCGTCGTCGTCGTCGTCGTCGTCGTCGTCGTCGTCGTCGACTTGCCGTGGCACATGGCTTATTATCCCCCCTTGACCCCGAACTCTCTCACTCCCCGGGCGTTGTTATTATCAGGGGTGGTCGGGTAGCCCAGGCTGGCTTCAACAGGTCCCCCCCCCCGAGCAGTCCAGGGCGGTCTCAACCCCCTGGGCCCGCCTCCAGCGGCGCCCCTGGGGCGCTCCGCGCCCCTGGGTTGGGGTGTTGAGACCGCCCCGGACTACTGGGGGGGGTCTCCTCCTCCTCCTCCTCCTCCTCCTCCTCCTCCTCCTCCTCCTCCTCCTCCAGCTGGGGCTGCTCGGGGGGCCTGTGGAGACCAGCCGGCATTCGGGAGGCTGCCTGTGCGCAAGCGGGGCTCGGCCGGAGCGCCGCACCCTGCCGGAGCCTGCAAGGCTGGTGTCTGGTCGGGCTGGCTTTGGGAGCCGCCCGCAGCTGTGAAGGTGTGCTCACACACATCTTCCGAAGGGGCAGGGCATCTGCATGAACATCATGTGGCGAATGTCCGCTCGGATTCCTCGGATCGGCGGCGGCCCCCTCTGGCGGCACCTCCGGCGGCGCCGGTCAGAGAAATTCACGAGGACCTCCGCGGCATGATGTTGATGCACGCTTATGCTCCTCAGCTAAGTTATTTTGTTGATTGTAGCTGAGCTGGGTTTGGGAAGACGATCGAAGAGCTGCAGAGCAGTTCTTTCCAGATTGGCTGAGCCGAGTCAGCGCCGAGCAGGTTCAGTCCACACCCGACTCGAGGGAAGGCATGCACGGGGTATTTCGCGTGGATTGGCGGCGGGTCCCGTTTCCATCCGTTTCCATCAGAGTCGGCGTGCTCTGTAACTAGATCTGGCGGCACTGGCCTCATGTCTTATGATGTTCCACCCTACTTCAGCCTTGACCTCCAGAAAGAAATTCGAGCGCCAGGAAAGTATTGAACCTGCAGGGCATTTACGCTTCGGGCCCTGGGAGGCGATGCTCGCTCGGCACTTCGCCAGCGTGTCGGGCAGACAGTGTTACGAGTTGTTACGGGGTGCTCGAAATTTGCCTGGGATGTGTCAGGAGGGGAAAACACACACAGTCGCACTTCATCCTCGATCTCTGGGAACACATGGGACAATATGGGAGGTGGGGGGGAAGACGAAGACCCAGAAGATATTAGGAATGTGGGGGATCCTTTTATTTGTGTCTACTTCTTGGTGTGTCCCAGGGCCCCTTCTGATAAGATGGGAGCAGCACAGCTCATGTCTCGGGGGATGCTATCCCGGCTCGCGGAGCTGGGACCCTCGCGCCGGGCCCACGGACCCATCGTCCACGCGGGGCGCTCCAAACGGGGCTTTTGCCTTCGAGGCTCCACGGCGCTGCCGTCTCTGCCGCGGCGGCAGGGCGGCGGAAGGTCGGCGGAAGCGGAACGAGGCCGCCTCGGCCGGCGGAAGGCCGGCGGAAGGCGGCGGAAGGGAAGGGGTCTTGGGGTTCAGGGCTGCCTGAATCCGCCCCGTCAGCGTGCGCCCGCAGGTCGCCCAGGGGGGGGCGCAAGAGGTTGTCGCGCGTCGCGCGTCGCGGTCTGGGCCAGGGCGGTTGCCCTTTTCCGAGGAGGCGGCGCGGGGGCGCGAGGGCGCGAGGATGATCGCGCGTCTTGGGGCGCGAGGCGCGAAGTTGGGCTACCTCGAGGTTCTGGTCCGTGTCTGCCTCTCTTGGAACCTGCGAGGGCCTCTTGCTTGGTAATTAGCCACGTGGAGGCTTCAGGCACGGAGGTCTCCGGAGATGGGTATTTCCCGTCGGGGGGGAGGTTTTTCCCTTTGGGCTCCGGCAAGCTTCTTGGCATGGGGGGGGCGGAGAGTTGGGGGCGGTCCAGATGTGCTGGTGGACATCGGCGTCCTGAGACCAATGTGGGGCCTTCCAGCGAGGGCTTCGACCATCGTCCTCGGCGAACAGGCCGGCGGACCTGGAGCGGGGGCGGCGCCACTGGCGGAAGGCTGGCGGTGGCTGGGCCCATTTCTGGCGGGCGTACGTAAGAGATGCGGCCCTGGGAGGTGGATGCCACTTTTTGGAGGGTTTGGGGCTGCTGGAGCCCGCCACGTGCACCGAGTGGGCCCGGCCCCCGAGTTTGCGCCCGTGGAGGCTGGGGGGTGGGCGGATTGTCTTTCCTCTCCCGCACCAGCAGCATCAGCGACCAGGGCTACCTGAAGGGTCCCCAGGATATGGACGTGGAGCAGGCGGCCGCGGTTCCTTCTCTCCTCCTCCTCCTCCTCCTCCTCCTCCTCCTCCTCCTCCTCCTCCCCTTCTTTCTCCCCTCCTTCTCCTCGTCCTCCTCCTCCTCCTCCTTTTCTTTTCCTCCCATTTTGATATCTATGCGCGAATTAGCACAGGCAAGAATGGCAGTCTCCTCAACTCCCTCTTTTCGCATTTCCAGGGGGAAGAAAAGCAATTGTATTTGGAAGCCTGCCAGAAGTTCAACATCGAACCCGAGTTGCCAATGAAACTAATTGCAGCATGTGACAAGTTTGAGTATTCCTATCATGATCCGAAGGAGGAAGGTGACCATTCAGGCGAAGTTAGTGACTCGCTAGAAAGTTTGTTGCCTAGGCGCCCAACCAGCGGGCGCAATAGGGGAAGGTCCAAGTCATTGGACAGTGGAAAGTTTTGAAGCACTAGGACGTGTGTGAAGACAGCAGAATCATCTCGCGGTGCAGGCACGGAGATGGCAGAGTCAAGCCCTCCTAAAACTCTCGCCGAGTTGAAGGAGGGCGTCGATGAGATTCGCATCACTAGTACCTCAATGCAGCCCAGCTCAAACTGGTTCAGGTGGAGATCCGCCATTTACAGAAGCAGTTGAGCAGGAAACCGATCACCATCAAGAAGGCGCCCAAGGAGACGGAAGAGTACAGTTACGAATCGGACATTTCGGAGTAGTATTTTGGGACAGCCATAAACCAATTGGTGTCAAGCATATGTCTACATAATGTGATACGGCTGCGGACACAGCTCTGTTTCGAAAGGCCGCGCGTCTCATCATATAGTTTTCGCCGGCAGGCGCTAGCACGCGCAATTGCAGAGAGGAGTAATTCAGTAGATGGGCGATCCCTAATTGAACATCAGCGGCCTTTCTCCACGCGTTCCAACATGTCATGGCAGGCGCTACAATGCGCGAAGGCGGTGGTTGGTGTTGGTTTCTAGTGGAGTTTGGTGTTCATGCAACCTTGTGCGGTAGAAGCCGCGTCTTGATGTGGAGCCACCATATCTAAAACGAACTTGCTTGGCCAGAGGAAAAAGTGCATCATGAAATAATTGGATGGTCAGTGTGCTGATTCCGACTATTGCGACCTTCTCCACTCATCCCAACATCTCTTGGCAGGCGCTAGAATGCGCAGTTGCACTGGGTGTTGGTGTCCAGTGGAATTTGGTGCAACGCGAATTTCTCTGCGATAGAAACCGCTTCTTTTTGTGGAGCTACCAATTGTAACACCGACCTGGCTTGGCCAGAGCCGCTGCGAGGCACAGAGATGACAATAGATGTCCTCCCATCCCCTCATCATTACTCCTCCTTCTCCCCGCTAGCGCTCAGAGGCTTGTACAGGTGCATAGGCGTGCTCAGTAAACGGGGTTCCAAAGGGGAAAGGAGGTGGATGCGGAGGAAACTTGCCTGCGGCAGAAAGCGCCTTTGGATGTGGAGTCGCCATATCTAACACAGACCTGGTTGACAAGAGCCCCTGGCAGAAGGGTGACCATCATCCCTCCTCCTCTTCCCTGCCGTGAGAAGCAGTCAGTCGAGGCTCGTGCGGAGGTGGAGCGCAATGTCAAGGTATCGCACAGGGTCCGCATGGAGCAGGCCGACGACCCCGTCGAGCAAGGGTTCGTAGGACTCAGCTCGGCGGTCAAGGGTTCCGTCGGGGGCCGCGAAGCGTTCGCCAAGCTACGTCGGCCCCAGGAGGAGGCGCGGAAGCAGGAATCGGACACTACCAAAAAAGTGGTTGCACGAGGTGGTGCTACTGGTGGTGGCAATGTCGGCGCCCCTTCATCAGCTCCTCGAGCAGGAGGCGCGGCCGGGGGGGCCGCTCCAGGCTTCGCGGGGACGGAGTGGCTTCAACGACGAGGAGGCCCAGTCCAACCTCAAGCGGATCTACGAGCAGGGCGGCGACAAGGAGCAAATGGCCAAGCACCTCGCCGAGCACCCAGCCAAGAGGCAGGGTCGTCTTTAAGCCAGTGGCCGAGCCCACGTCGTTCGACCTCGAGGCGCCGTCGCTCGGTTCCACTTTCTCGCCCAAGAGGCCAACCAGGCCGCCCATCGTCCGACTGGGGAGTGAAGGCCCACCCCCAGGCAGGAAGGCCAACGATGGGGGGGCCCGGGCAGTCCGACATTGAGGTCGGGTTCCAGTGCGAGAACTTGCGAGCGCCCCCAGACGCCAGAACATTGGCGCCGTGTGCTTCGAGCCTCGGAAGACCGTTGCCAACCCCTTCGGTGGGGTCCTCGGGCCCAGTGGCGGCGTCAGCGTCGCAGATGGCGGCGAGCGCGGCGACCGCGTGCGGGGCAGTGTCCACGAGTAGGTTGATGTCCGCGCCGACGCCGCCAACTGTCCGCAGGTTGCGGATGTCAGAGCGGCAGGAGGCCGCGCGCTCCTCGAGCGCAGCCTGTGGGGCCAGCTCGGATTCCCCTCCCCCCCTGCTCGCGCAACCACGCGCAGGCGGACAAAGCGTAGAACGCAATGCGACTTTGACGAGACCGGCCACCCCCCACCATCGATTGCCCAGCCAGGTGGGAACAACCGCGTGTCAGGACCTGATCTTTTTAATAAGGGGTCAACTCGAGTTCGTGGAGCACGTTCAAGGGGGTCTACGACTGGCTGTGCGATGTAGGCATGCAGGCCGACCAGGCGGCCACCGACGACAGCGCGCCGTTCCCCCGGGTACTTGCCGCGCGGGAGACACGCGTCAAGTTGCCCGCGGCAGGGGGGCAGGCCCTCGGCTGGGCTGACGACCGCAGCGCGTGGCCGCGCTGAAGCGACGGGGCCAGGCCCCCCGGAGAGCTCGGAAGGAGTGCGCGCGGGGATCCAGAAGCAGATGTGGGCGATGGTGACGCAGCTACCCAGGCCCCCGTGTCAGTTTCGCCACAGGTGCGCGCGCGCGTGTGCGCGTTGCGCTGGGCGGGCATGGGTTCCCCCATCGAGCGCGCTGGTAGTCTCTATGCATTTATCGGTCAAGGAGGGCCCGAGGGGCACGACCGATTGGAAGTTGCAAGGGGACTTCTCGGTTCGTTTGTTTACCCAGGACATGCCGCGGATCATCCAAGGGGATGCGAACTGCTCGGCCTCAGAAATGATCGTCGCGGGCGGGCTGGGCGCGGGCGCGGGCGCGATCTTCCAGGCTAGTTCCAACGGCCCGTTTAACGCGATATAAGGAAGAGGGAGAAGGAGGCGCTCCAAGGCCGGCGACGGCGGAGAGCGAGGTATATTTTTACTTTGGGGGGGGGGGGGCGGGCGAAGGAGATTTGCGATTGCCGGCAGTCCGCGGCGGCCCTGGGGCCCGCTCGCGAACTTGATCGGCTCGGCGCGTTTCGCCGAGCCCAGGGCGTTCAAGAAGTCCCCGCTGGCCCCTTGCATCGGGCGGCAGCATGGGCCCCCCATTGGCCCATGGGCCCATGGGCCCTCGGCCCTCGGCGGATCCCGACGCGCCTCGGGGCGAGCATCAGGGAGTGGTCTGACATTTCGGAGATGCGACGCGGAACGGTTCGCGACGTCCCCAAGGAAGGGCGGCGCCAGCGCATCGGCAGGACCATGGGCCCCCAGACCTCCGAGGTGCCCCTCCATTTTCTCTGCGATGGGGAATCTTGGCGTCGCCTCAGTCCGACGACTGCGTTTTGGATGCCGCGCAGGAGATAAACCGGCAGGGCAACGCAGGCGGCGTCGAGGAGCCGAGGTCGACGAGGGAGGGGGGCCCTGAGCAAGTGGGTCAGCGCCACGACAGGGGCGTTCGCCATGCTGCGCGAGAACGGCCCACCGCCGACAAGGCAGCAGCGGCCCCTCGACCCCAGACGGGCCGCCCAGCTGTGCTTTGCGCTCCGAGTTCCAGCGCGTGGGGGGCGGCGCGGCCGACGACGGCGATCCGCCCCTCGAGCGCTGTTCCACCCGCCGGGGGAATGGGGGGCGCGGGCGGAGGATTCGTCTGGGCACGTGAGATAGAGCCGGATTCGATGTTCAGTTTTTGTGGTTTGGAGATGGCGGGCCCCTTGGTGCAAAATGGCTTGCATGGCTAAGTTTGAAATTTTCTGTTCGCGCGAATTTGTGCTCATAAAAGGATCCACCATTGTGGTGTCGCTGCGTTTTATCTCCTTCCGATTCTCGACGAATCCGATTCGTCGAGAATCGGAGGGAGATTGCACGCGCCTAAGCAAACCATCGCGCGATGGCCCAGCTCCTCGACGAGCGGCCCCCCGCGCGGGCCCCGGATGGCCGCGACGAGGTCCGCCCCGGCCAGTGGGGCATCGATGGCTCAACTCCGCCCCCTTTCTGACCCTCGAGACTTCAGATGGAAAGGAAAACACACACACGCACACGCACACGCACACGCACACGCACACGCACACGCACACGCACACACACACACACACACACACACACACACACACACACACACACACACACACACACACACACACACACACACACACGCAGACGCCATGCGCCGATGGCGCGGGCTCGGGCCGGGATCAGTTCCGCCCGAAGCGGGCCCTCCAGCCCTTTTCCCGAGCGCCGGCAGAGGCCCCTTTTCCGCCCCCCTGGGCTTCGAGGAGAATCCAGGATGGGCCCGAGACCTCGTCGCGACCATCGCCTTCACCGCGGAGCCAGAATGTGGGGCGCGGCCTCCTGGGGCGGCGCGTCTTCCTCTCGAGCTGCGGGGCATATCTCGACGCCCCCGGCGTCGCGAGTTGGGGGGCGGGCGCCCGCCGAGTGGATTTCCCACTGGGGCAGCGGCCCCGCCGCCGCTGGCAATAGGAGAACAAGAAGTGACATGAATATGTTTTTTTTGCAAAGTGGCACAATAAGTGACATAAAGAATGTTAAAGTGGCAATAAAAAAAAAAGAGTGACATAAGGATGAGAATTCGGAGGTCCGCGCGGATTTCTCGGATCGGCGCTGGGCCCCCCCCCCTGGCGCGCGGAGCGCGCCCGGGGCGGCGCCCGGAGGCGCCGCCGGGGGGCCCCGGCGGCGATCCGAGAGATCTGCGCGGACCTCCGAGTTCTTATGTTTATGTCACTTTTTGTTCCCCGGTGAAAGGAGGCAGGGCGGGCCCGCGAACTCTCGGCAGAGCGCCGCCGCGCCGCGGGCGCGGACAGTGCCGCGGCGCTGCCGGTTTGGAAGAAACTCCACGAGCACGCGCGGCGCCGCGACTTGTTCGACGCAGCTCGACAGTTCGACTTCAATCAGGAGAGAAAACAACACAGACACAAGCAATCGTCGATTCCCCAGAAAATAAATGAAAGCATGGGAAGTGGAGGGGAACAAATCCTTTGAAATGTAGGAAAATATGGGGCATATTTTTAAATATGTGCATTTATTTGCGTGTCCCAGGGCCCCTTCATTCAATTCAGAGTTGTCGCGGGGGCTGATGACGATCTAGTCGGTATATTGAGCGATTCTGCACGGTGGGGCGATGTCAAGCTCTGTTCGGGCGTCTTTGGCGACCATCGCGGGGCGTTCGGCGGCTTCGGCTTCAGCGAAACCGCTGGCTCTGGCGCCGATTCGTAGAGCTGCGCCGGGCAGACCGCAGCTGCAGATCAGGAGCGTTGTCGATGGCACCTCGCTCCAGGCAGTTGGTCCGAGCTCCGCGGTCGCGGACCAGTCGCCGACGGCCATCGAGGGCCTCTTCTTGTTTTTTTTCGGTGGCTCGAGCACCCTGCGAACTGGAAGAAGTGCGGGTTCTCAGCCGGCCCCGCAGACCAAGCCAAGTCATTGATGTGGAGAATTGGGCCCTGCGCCTCAGCAGCAGGGGGGCGCGGCCAGAAACCTCGGGCCGACGCCGGCCTCGGGAACGTTGGAGGGGCCGCCTTCGCGATGCCGGAGCTGGAGCTGAGTGGGCCCAGCGGCGCGGCCCGACGGCGCCTGCGCCGCAGGCGCCCCCCCCCCTCAGCGCCCCGCCGCGCGAGGGCTCGGGCGGCTGGGGCTCCGGGGGGCTTCCGAGGGGGATCTCGGTGGGCCTCCGCGCGCGCTCGTTCCCGGGCGGGGCCGGAGTCGACCCGCGGGTGATCTCCGCGGGCTTTGCAGCGCACCGGTGGGCGACGGCCGCCCGGGACTCAGACCCCGAGCCCCGCGTCGTCAGAAAGTCATTCGAGGCGTCGCGAGAGGGGCGCCTGGCCCCCTCGAGGCCACGGGGGGAGGGGGCCCACCAGCTGACGTGGGGAACGCCTGGGCGCCGATGTCGCCGCGGGAGCTTCGCGCCGACATCGGCGCAGCACTCAGCGCGGCCCGCGCGAGGCCTGCCCTGGACTGGAAGCTCGTCGAGGCACGGGTGAGCCGCTTCGCCTTAAGGGTGCTCCCAGCTTTCTGTGCTGCGTGATCTTGTCTGTTTTCCGGGAAGACCAGCGACCCTTCGGTCGGTTGCCCATGGCCCCTGGCGGCCCCGGGCCCGGTCGCGCACAAAGAACTCGGCGGCCCTCCCTGCGCGCGCTCTGCGCGAGGACCTGATTGCCCCATTTGCCGCCGCTGCTATGAGCGCGATGCCCCGGTTCGCCGCAGGGGGCGCTTTGTTTCGCCAGGTTTGCTCCGCCGCCCTCGTCGCGCCAAAGGGCGAGGATTCGAGGCGGGGGCGATTCTTGCGAGAGGCACTTTCTCATGCCATCTTCCCCCGCTCATCTCCGAATCCCCTTGCCAGACGGCCCGCTGGCGCCGTCGACCAGCCGGCGGTTTCCAAACGGGCCTGTCGTTCTCGGATGGGGCCCGTTCCTTGTCTGACGCGCGTGAGTTTGTCAGATTCTGGCTGGGCTTTCGTGGCGCGTGGCCCCCGCGGTCGGGCGGTTGCCGCGGCCCGCGGGCCTGCGCCTCCTAAGTCTTCGTCGCTGCAGACGGCGCGCGGCGGGGGGGATGTCGCGATCCACGCGTTGACTCGGGTAGCCGACGGCGCCCTTCCATGTTCATTGCGATTGCAAGGGCACGGTTATCAGACCCCGCTCGTGGGCCCAGGTGCAGGGTCGGGTTCGGGCAGCACCAGGGCCCACATGCGGGCCCCTTCGAATGCTCTCGAGGCCAACGACACGAAGGCGCGCTGCGGCACCGCGGGCGCCCATGGCGGAAACACCACGCCGCGGGAACAGCGCCGGACAGACGCGACCGACGAGTTTGCTCAGCAGGGCGGCCTCTGGCGCGGATCGAAGGAGGACGCCCCCCACCGCTGGCGAGGGCCCGCGGGGCCGCGCCGTGCAGCTGCCCGGCGGGCGGGGGAGGTTCACTCGCGGGCGGGGGGCGGGGCGGTCGGGCGGGGCCCCGCGGCGACCTGGGAGAGCGCGGGGGAGCGCCAGGCGAGGCAGTCGAAGCCCATCCTCAGCAGCCCCCCCCCCCCCCCCTGGGCTCCCCGCGTCGCCGCCTCTGCCCCTTGCTTGCCCGGCCGACGGCTGGGGCGACTGCGCGGAGATGGGCCGGCATTTCCACGGCCGCCCGCTGCCGCGCGCGCGGGGCACGGCGCGCGACGGGCGCGGAGAGGACAGAGCGCCGACTTTTTTGCTGCGCCCGCGGGGCGCGGGCACTGGCGCGGCCCGGCTTTTGGAAGAGCGCGGGCCCCAGTTTGCAGGGGCAGCTTCGGGGCCTCGGAGCGAGGCAGTGGCCGCTGCAGGAGGCCGGCGCGCAGGGCCCGCTCGTCGGCGCGCCGGCCGCAGGTCGGGCGCGGGCGGCGCAGACTTTTTACCTCCGAGGTGTTTGCCCAGGGCGGCCCGACGGACTTGTCTGAAGTCGGGCCTGTCCCCCTGCAGGGGGATTTTCGACGAACAATGAAGAATGCCCCAAAATACATCAAAAATACTCTGGGGCTTATGTTGCGAGTGTTGTTCGGCCTTTTTGAAGCATTGTTGGTGCATTTGTTATTGTTCATCGAAAATCCCCATGTAGGGGGGCAGGCCCGACCTAAGACTTGGATCAGGGAAGAAACGCTGCCACACTGGGGCAGGGGTTGGACGAGACTGGGACGAGGATGAATCCGTTCCGGAACGCTCTGAGAAGGCCGCGGCGGCCGATACAGCCTCCGGAGCCGCTGGGTCTCAGAGATCCCCGATTTACGCACCCTCGCCCCGCTTTGTCCTCTGCTTCGGGGTCCGCTTTGGGTTCCGATTCCTGTGGACGCCTTCATGGCCTGCCGATCCCCGCCGATTCGACTTCTCGACCTTTTTGGTGTATTATTTGAATATTATTCGATATGGTTCGACTTTTTTGGGTCATTTTTAGGGCATTTTGTTTATATTGCTCGTCGAATTGTGGGGTATGTTTGGGGTATGTTTGGGGTATGTTGGGGTATTTGTGGTGTATTGTTGGTGTATTTTTGGAGTATGTTGTCCCCCCCCCCTTGTAGGGGGACAGGCCCGACCTAAGACTTGTCAGAGGCCCCCTGGGCGGGGGGGGGCGTGCCTGGTGGCCCTGGCCTTCTCTGGGGCCTAAAATAGACAAAAAGATACACTCAAAAAAATACTCTGGGGCTTATTTTTCGAATGGTGTCCGACCTTCTTGGGGCATTTTTGGTGGGGTACTTCTTGTTCGTCGAAAATCCCCCTGTAGGGGGACAGGCCCGACCTAAGACTTGTCAGAGGCCCCCTGGGGGGGGGGGGGCGTGCCTGGCCCTGGCCCCCCCCCCCTTCGCCCCCGGCAGCGAGGCTCTCTCCGGGGCCCCGCGGCAGCCTCTCTGCTGTGGGGCCGCCGGAGGGAAAAACACGTTTTGGTCGGCGGGTCGGGAGCGGGCCCCTTCCGGTCAAGAGCTAGGCGGAGCGCGCGAAGCCCTAATTGGGGAGACAGGGCGCGGGCGGGCGGGGCCTCAGGCGGCCGGAAGGTGCAGAGTACAGGCGGTGCCGAAGACCTTGCACAGGACAAGGTACGCCATGGACAGGAACAGGGGATCGGGAAAAAACACAGACGCAATTACTCGTCGATTCCTTAGAAAACATGGGAAAATGGGGGGAAGTGGGGGGGAAGCCAAAAACCCCAAACATATGGGAAGTGGGGGGAAGCCAAAACCCCCCCAAACCCGGGAAAATATCGGAAAATATGGGAAGTGGGGTGGAGACAAAAACCCTAGAAATATTAGTAATTGTGGGCCGCCGCCCCGCGCGAACGGCGGGAGGCGTCGTGGGCGGCGGCCCCCGCTGCTGGGCCGGGGGCGCGCGCACCCCTCGTCAAGCATTATGCTGTTCCACCCTATTTTAGAGCCCTGATCACCAGAAAGAGCTCCGAGCGCCAGAAAAAAGTGCCGAACCTCGAGGGTTGTCACGCGTCGGGCCCTGGGAGGCACTCGCCCGACACTGTTGCGACACCGTTCCGACGCTCTTTTGACACTTTTCGGGGTGCTCGAAATTATTTCTGGGATGTGGTCCTTACGTAGGATGGGAACAACATAAGTCAAGCATTGCGTCGGGCCTGTCCCCCTACAGGGGGAAGTTTGACGAAATTACAAAAATGCCTCCAACAATGCTCCCAAAAGGCAAAGAAATACGCAAAAAATTGTCCCCGGGTCTATTTTGGGACTATCTTTTGACCATTTTGGGGGTATTTGTTATTTTTCGCCGGAAACCCCCCTGTAGGGGGACAGGCCCGACTTAAGTCAAGCAGCGGCGAAGCGTCCTGGCTCGCCTATAGCCCTACCAAACGATGTTCTAAGAACCGATTGCGGTCTCCACGAAACGTTCTTGGAACATTTCTGGCGGAGCCTGTTTTGTTTTGCCACGGGCTCCTGTTCTGAGAACCTGGCTTTTGCTATCCGAGCATTTCTGGGTTCTAGGAACATGTCGTGGTATGACTCTACCCATCGGTCGCTGAAAATAGGTATTTCTGGATTCCCAGATTCCAATATACTTTCAGCGCCTTCCTACTTCAAGAGTCGAGTGGTTTTCCCTCTTCCTTCCTCTTCAGGAGGCGTGCGGAAACCCAATATATTTCCAACGCCTTCCTACTTCATGTTTCTACCTACTTCTTCCGACCGATGGGTAGGAATGCCGGGACGGTCGGTCCCTGCTCAGCTTCGGGTTCTGGGGCCTCGCGGAGGCCGGCCCCTCCTTCGGTGCGAGCGCTGAGGGGGCGAGGGCGCCGTGCCCGACACCTCGGAGTTCTCCGAGCGCTCCGTGGGTGGCCTGGGGCAGGCCTCCACGAGCCGCCTTCAGGGTTCTGTCTCGTCTCCTCTCACTTCCTCCTCCTCCTCCTCCTGCTTCTCCTCCTCCTCCTCCTGCTTCTCCTCCTTCTCCTCCTCCTCCTCCTCCTCCTCCTCCTCCCTCTTCTCCTCCTCCTCCTCCTCCTCCTCGTCCTCCTCGTCCTCCTCCTCCCCCTCCTCCTCCTCCTCATCCTCCTCCTCCTCTCATCCTCATCCTCATCCTCATCCTCATCCTGCTCCTCCTCTTCGTCCTTCCCTCCGTGGGCATGACAGATCCCGAGTTCAGAGATGCCAGGGCCCTGTACTTGAATTCCATGGGGCCAGAGAGTGATTGTGACGATGCTGTGGCCGTCGGCGCCTAAGTCATCTCGTTGGGTCGGGTCGACCAACCTTCCGCTTTCCCCTTTAAGGTGTGACTGTCCTCCTCCTCTCCCGTAGATTACTGAGAGGGGGTCTCCCCCCACGAGGGAAGGGATGGGTTACTTGCCCCGAGTGGAGCCTGGACTCCAGCCACGACCATCATGAAGCATGGCAGAAAGCTCGCGCGGAGTCCCCAGCGTGAACCACCTCTTCAGCGCACTGCGCCCCTCTCTACGAAGTAGAAACTCCTCCTCCTCCGTACCGCGGTTGCGGGTGCAGCCTCTCCGCCGTAGCGCGGCTGCGGACGCGTGGGACCTAGCAGCCTATCACATTCGGGGCCATCTTCGAGCAGGTCGCAGGCAACAGCAGCTTTGACATCCGAGATCCGGGGATTTCAACTGTCCTTCTTCTTCTTCTTCTTCTTCTTCTTCGCTTCATCCATCGAGTCCAGGGCTGACAACAACAGCTTCTGCACTGTTTCGAGACCCGTTTTCACCAGCATGCTGCATAATAGTCCTTGTTTCAGCTAGGCCCGCCCCGCAGGTGAATTGTTGCTCCGCGCGCATCAAATATCCTCCTCCTCCTCCTCCTCCTCCTTCTCCTCCTCCTCCTCCTCCTCCTCCTCCTCCTCGGAAGAAGAGGTGGCCATGACGACGCTTGACCACATTTTCGGCGAGTACTTGGCGGTGAACGGCTCCGCGCCCGCGCTGGCCGTGGACGTGCTCAAGCTGGACGTTGAGGGTTACGAGATGGGCGCGCTGCGGGGGGCTGAGGCGGGGCCACGAGATCAGGGGACAAAGAAGATGGCGTTTCACGGTATATTCAAGCACGTTTATTGAATCGCTTCGCTCATTCCGCCGGCCCCCATGGAGCGCTCTTTGGGGCCTCTTGGGGGCCTCTTTGCGGCCTCTTGGGGGGCCTCTTGGGCGCCGCTTGGCTCCTTGGGAGCCTGTTGGCCGCTTCTTGGGGCGGTCTTGGGGGCGTCTCGGACTGTCTTGGAGCGTCGGAAAGCCGGAAAGGTGGAAACTCAAAATTCTGCCCAAAACATATAGAAAAGCAATGAATCGTGCCTCGTGGGGCTCTCTTGGGAGGGCTATTGGAGGCCACTTGGGGCGTCTGGGCGCGCCTCTTTGGGAGGCCTGTGAATGTCTTTGGACGCCTGTCGTGGGCCTCTTGGCTATATTTCCGGGACCTCCTGGGGCCTCTCTGGGGCCTCTTGGGGGCCTCTTGGCGGCCTCTTGGCGGTCTCTTGGGGCCTCTTGGGAGCTTCTTGGGGGCGTCTTGGGGCATCCTGGGGACCTCTCGGGGCCGAGAGCTCGAAATCTCCGTTCGGGTCCCCCGTCTGGGCCCGCTCTTGGGGATGTCTTGGGGGCCTCTTGGGCCATCTTGGAGGCCTCTGGGGCTATCTTGGAGCCCGCTGGAGCCGTTTGGGGGCCCTCTTGGAGTCCTCTTGGGCCGTGTTGGGGGGGTCTTGGGGGCCTCTTGGGCCGTTTGGAAGCGCCGGTAAGCCGATAAGGCGGAGAAGCCCAAATCATTGGAAAACCAACGGAAAAGCATCAATGTTTGCCCCTGGAGGCTCTCTTTGGAGGGTTCTTGGAGGCCTCTCGGGGCGTCTAGGCGCCATCTTGGACGTCTTGGAGCGATCTTGAGGCATCTCGGACCCGTCGTCTATTGTCTTGGGGGCCTCTTGAAGGCCTCTGGGCCCTTCTTGGGGCTCTCTGGAGCGCCTCGAGGGCGGCGCCCAGACGGAAAACCATCTCTGGCCCGAACGTCCCAGGACCGTCACGGGACCGTCCCGGGGTATTTTTCGTCGGGGGACCCCTAGGGGCAGCCCCGCGCGCGCGAATGGAAATATTGTTGACCAGTTACCGGAGATCTTAGCACGCCGCTGGCCCGTTGGGCCGGCGAATTTGCATGGCATGTCGCCAAGTAAGTTCATTTGCATGGCATTTCGTCTCCCCCTTGCCCCCCTCCCTCCGCAGCGTTTTCAAGCAGCGCTGGGCCGAAAAGGCGTGCAAGTGAGCCCCAGCTTGCGTGGCGTCAAGATGTCCTTTCGGGCCCAGCCACGCCTCCGCCCCCCTGTGCAAGCAAGCTTGCCGGAGTATGCAGAACAATTGGCTGCAAGTGCCCAGACGTCGGGCGGATTTATTTGTCGCAGTCCGGGTCTGCTCCCTTGTTTCGGCCTCTGGGGCCCGTTGTCGGTCTCGGGGACAGTCAAAACTTGCTTGGGGACGAAAAAAATTGCCCTTGGGGAAGGGGTCGAGACCTCTGGGGCGCGCGGGGGGTTGCAAAAATCATATCCTTGGATGTCCGTTGTCCACCTCGTCGATCCTCGCCAGATCGATCCTCGGCCCAATGCCGGTGCATGCTTCGACGGTCGAGCAGGTGGATGGCGTATGCACCGATGCTGGGCCCTGGATGGGCCTCGACAGGATCGGCGAGTTCGATAGCTGGAGCCCCCCGAACGGATTCTGTGCACCGAAGTCAGCGCCCTCGCCTGCTCTCGCCGTCCTGGCCCCCGCCGCCCCTGCCTCCCCTCTTCGATCTCTGTTCATGGGACAGTGCAATCCGCTTTTTCTGCATTTGGACAGCTTTTGGCCTTTCCTCCTGCTCCTCCTCGCCCTTCCTGCCCCTCCCCCACTCCTGGTTATCCTCGTCTCCCTTGTGAAGGGGCGAATACGGCCCAAATCTAGTCCTAAATGGTTTCCAAATCTGGTCCAAATCAGGCCTAAATCGGTCAGCGCCTGGGGCCACGCCACGCAGGTTACCATGGAGCGGACACCAAGCCCCTCCTTCCTCTCCCGCTTCCACCCTCCCAGGGGATGGGCGCATGGGGAAAAGTCAAGAGGTGCAGGAGGAGGTGGTAAGGAGGGGGGAGATGATCTCTCGGAGGAGGACGGGAACGTGGAGGGTGAGGAGGAGATGGGGAAAGAGAAAGAGGACGAGACGAGGACGAGGAGGAGAGGGAGGAGTGCGCTTCAGTGTTTCGATTTCGTGGCCTCGCGCAGGGGTTGCTGTCGCAGGGGCTCGTGCACTACTTGGTCGTCGAGTTTCACCCGGGGATGCTCGGCACCACCGGCACCGATCCCCAGGGCCTGCTGGAGCCCAGAGAAGGGGGGGGCAAGAGTGCCCACAGGCAGACGTGCCTTGAGAACGGCACGATGTCATTCACTCCCAACGCTCGACGATCTCCCTCCTCCTCCTCCTCCTCCGCCTCCGCCTCCTCCTCTTCCTCCTCCGCCTCCGCCTCCGCCTCCGCCTCCTCCTGCTCCTCCTCCTCCTCCTCCTCCTCCTCCTCCTCCTCCTCCTCCTCCTCCTCCTCCTCCTCCCTCCTCTCTTTCTCCTCCTGCCCACCCTTCGAGCACGCATCTTGCAAGGCCGCGCGTCGTATCAAGCTCATCCCCTCCCTCCCTCCTCCCTCCCTCCCTCTCTCCTCCCTCCCTCCTCCCTCGCCCCTCCCTCGCCCCTCCCCCCCACTCCTCCCTCTCCCCTCCTTCTCCTCGGCCCCTCGTCCCTCCCCCTCCCTCCCCCCTCCCTCCTCCCCCCTCCCCTCCCCTCCCCTGGTGGGAGCGGAGCCCTCGGGGGCCCGCTCTCGGGACGCCCCAGGGGTCCCCGCCGGATTCGGGCGCAGGCTGCGGCTGGAACCGTGGGCCCCCTCCCGACGCCTCTCTTGGGGGGGCGCGCCCTTGCGCGGACTCCTCCTCCTCCTCCCTCCTCCTCCTCCTCCTCCTCCTCCTGCTGCTCCTCCTCCTCCTCCTCCTCCTCCTCCTCCTCCTCCTCCTCCTCCCTCCTCCTCCCCTCCTCCTCCTCCTCCTCCTCCTCCTCCTCCTCCTCCTCCTCCTCCTCCTCCTCCTCCTCCTCCTCCCCCCCTCCTCCTCCTCCTCCTCCTCCTCCTCCTCCTCGTCCTCCTCCTCCTCCTCCTCCTCCTCCTCCTCCTCCTCCTCCGCCTCCTCCTCCTCCTCGTGGGCGGCCACGGGCGCTCCCCTGAGGATCGGGGGCAACGCTAGTGGAGGATGGGCTCAGGACGAGGCTTCGAGGCTCGAGGTCCGAGGTGAGCCGGCGTCGTCGTTGCTTCTCGGCGGTGTCCCAGCCTCGGGACGCCTCCCGGCAGCTGCAGCTCGGACAACGCTGGGGGTGGATCGGCTCAGGGGGGGGTGCATCGACCCAGCATCGCCCACTCGTCGACGATGGGGGCCCGATAGCCCAGCGGGCGAGGAACGGTACAGCATCATTTTTTCCGCCGTCGGGGGCGCCTGCCCTTTGGCGGCTGGAAAGTTTATACCCCTACGGTGCCACCGTAAGGGTATAAACTTTCCAGCCGCCCTGGGACAGGCGCCCCCGACAGCGAAAAAGTTGATTTAATCCCGTTCTTCGCCCGTCGAATAGCCCCATTCCGCCCAGGCACGTGCGGTTTCCCGACCGGGCTCCTATCGCCGATCCATCGGCGACTTGTCGCCGCCTCCAGGGCGAGGTGCCCCCGGCGAGCCGGTGCCCCCCGAACGCTCCCCCCCCCGGAGGAGTTCCTGCAGCACTACTGCTTCGTGTGCCACTCCCTCAAGATCGATCGCCCCCACACCTTCTCGGACTTTGTTGGGCGATACACTGCCAGCGCTGATGTTCTACCCACGCAGGGCCTAGGAGCGCTAGAGGACCTGATCTGCGAGAATCCGTGGTGGCAGCCGCAATCAAAAAACATCGCCGTCGCTGCCGGTTCGTGCTCTCATGGGGCGAGGTTGTATGGCCACCATTTCTCCTTCTTTCACGTCTTTCGGTCAGCCGTCACGTGGGCTCAAGGGTACTTGCTGCTATTGGACTGGCTGGGCGCCTTACTTTGGTAAAGGCTCTCCGCGTGCTGTCGTGGTTTCGTCGTTTCGATCCGTCTAGCCTGGCTTCGTCACACGTCGTAGGTAGATAAGCCAGTGGCATAAACCAACCGCTCAGAGTGTTCATGCCATGTTCGTCGCATGCTTCTCGCTTGGCTTGCTTAGGTTTTAGATGGTTACAATGAGATAGCAATCGTGTGGCCCAGTACCTTACGTCGATCATTGGCATCGGCGCCCTCATGCCATCTCGATTCATCGTCATGGGTCCGAGTAGGCATCGCTCACGGGTAGACCCTGTGGTTTCTTTCACGCCACATCTTCCAGGTCCCAACGTGCGCAATGCGTGCTCCACGGCTCGTGGAGCCTTCGTGCCATTCTAGGAGGTAATGAGGTGCTGCTCGTCGCCGCGGCACTCTGTTGACCCAGGATGCGGCTCCCTGTCAGATGCACCGCGCACCCCGAAGTTTTCCCCTCAAGCAGTGCTTGCACTTGAGGGGCCCTATTCGTTTCCCATGCCAGCGGTTGGCATCCTCATCTTGTCTGCATAGCCCGGCAAAGAGGGGGATGCGATCAGAGCGCCCTATGTTGGTTCCCGTGTTGCCCGTTTCCCTCCTGAGTTTTGCCGGGACCCTCCAAAGAGGTTGCTCCGAATGGTCTAGGGCCGCCTCGCACCCACTCGCCCCATCCCCCCTCTCCACCAGCCTCTCCACGCTGCCATCCCCCGCCCGATAGGACAAACAAACGCTAAACTTATGTCGGGCGTGTCCCCCATACAGGGGGATGTTCCCAGACTATTGTTTGATCATTTGTTGGCAATCGTTTGATTATTTTAGGGGGGTGTTTTTTTATTTCTCGTCGAAAGTCCCCCTGTATGGGGGACAGGCCCGACCTAACACTAACTGGGTAGTCGAAGGCCAGACTGCCAGATTGGACTGGGCCCCAAGGGCCAATCTGGCCTGGCCAAATTGGAGGATTTGGGTTATTCGCCAGACTGGATTCGCGGTGGCTCCCTCGCCAGATTGCCCCCATTTGCCAGATTGGGCCTGCCAGATTGGCGCCAGATTGGCTTCGACTACCCAGACTCAACGCATGTGGGCATCACATCTCAGAGGTGCACGCCTCGGGCGCCCCGCCGGACTCGGGCGCAGGCCGCGGCTGGGGCCGTGGGCCCCCCCCCCGACGCCCCTCTTGGGGGGGCGCGTCGCCCCTACGCGGAGGTTACTTCTCCTCCTCCTCCTGCTCCTCCTCCTCCTCCTCCTCCTCCTCCTCCTCCTCCTTCTCCTCCTCCTCCTCCTCCTCCTCCTCCTCCTCCCCCTCCCTCTCTCCTCCTCCTCCTCCTCCTCCTCCTCCTCCTCCTCCTCCTCCTCCTCCTCCTCCTCCTCCTCCTCCTCCTCCTCCTCCTCCTCCTCCTCCTCCTCGTGTGCCGACCCCAGAACCCCGCGCGGACCCCGCACGAGCGCAGATACGAGATATGTTTTTTCCTGGCCGCCACGAATAGGCACAGGATGCAGCTACAGGACCCTTCGACAGACAGAGGGGCTCAGAGAGAGAGAGAGATAGAGTATAATGGGATCCTCGTCGTCTTCCCCCTCCGTCCATACTGTTTATAAGTAGCACCTCCCTGTCGCATCTCGAGACGAATGATTAGAGCGGGCCGGGCGATGTGCCTGAGACTTCAGAGTCATTGATGGTCCTAACGCTTCACATGTGCAAGAGTTTCACGGATGGAAGGTGGGCCGTTTCCAAAATGTGGTTCTTTCCATAGCGCCGCGCACATTCGTTTAAAAAATTACACGAGCTTCGCGGACGGAGGGTGGGCCCGTTTCAACATGTGGTTCTCATTTTAGCGCCGCGCACATTTGTCGCGTTCAGGTTCGCAGGAGCTCTACGGATGAAGGGCGGTGCTTTTCAACATGTGGTTCTCGATCTAACGCCGCGCGCATTTGTTTTACAAGCGTGCAAAAACTTCACGGATGGATGGTGGAACCTTTTTCGCAATGTGGTGTTCGCTACATTTCCGCGCAACATCGTCTTGTTTGTTTGCAAGAGCTTCGCGGATGGAGGGCGGGCCGTTTTTTTATGGTTCTGGCCTTAGCGCCGCGCGCAAGTTATGGAATTATAATGGTTTACGCCCTATGAATGGTGTTGCGGCACGATTTGCGAAATCTGGGGCGCAACGGTCACAATGATTCGCGGTGTCATAGTCCTTGGAATGGCGCTTTGGCCCGATTCAGGATCGTAGGACGCAGCGGTGAAGTTGACTCGCGGCGCTGGGGGGCAAAGTAGGATTATCATCGTCGCCCCCCTCCCTTCCCCCCCTTTTTTCGACGAGGAGCTACTTGTGGAAGGCGCCAGGAAGACGGAGGGCCCCGCGGCGAAAGGCGCGGAGCTGCTGGGCAAGAAGAGCCTGATGTGGCTGCTTCTACGGGGGAGATCAGAATTGGCGCGGCGATCCCAGATTATCGAACAGGAGGCAACCCGGCACTCGGAGCATTCGGTGGCGCTTGTCACGCTGGCCAGGAAACCTTCAGGCGATGCTGGCGCGATCGAAGCGCCGTCAGACTGGGCGAGGCCGCGGTCGAGCTGTCGCGGGCCACAGAGTCAGCGCACCGGGCCGTGAAGCTGCCATCGGCACTGGAGGGGGCCGAGGCTCGGCCGTCCAGCCAACGAGGACGGCCGCAGGGAGTGGTGCCAACGTACAGTGCCGTTTTTAACACATACTCCGCGTGCGGATCATGTATTAGAAATGAAGGGATTTAGAATTAAAAACAATGGTGAGTTCATGCATTGATTTATTAGTAAATTAATCATGCATTAAGATCTTAAGTTTACAAAAGAATTGGCCGTGTCCGGTTCGCGAGAGGGCGTCGCGGCCGTCATTTTTGCGGGCCCAGGTCCGTCGGTTTCGGCCTTGGGCCGTTTTCATTGAAGGGTGGTTTGCTAAACGGAGGTTTGTCCAACGCCGAGGAGGCGCAAATTGCCACCATCCAGTGTTTTCCCTTTTTTCCCTTCTCATCGTCGGGAGTCGTCGCGCGTCGTTCCCCCAACTTGCTTGGGTGGGAGGGGCCCTCGCCCCCAAATGGGGGCCAAGAGCCCCCCCCCTCTCGGACTGTAAGTAGAAGGGCTCGAAGAGAGCCTCCTGCGGCAGCCCCCCCCCCACGCGTTCTCCCAGGCAGGCTGCTGCGAGGGCGGGGCCGCGCCCATATTTTCGCAGAGGCGCTTGAAAGCCCGCGGCCTCTGGTATAGGGGCCGCATTTCAGCCTCTTCCTCCTCCTCCTCCTCCTCCTCCTTTTCTCCTCCTCCTTTTCTCCTCCTCCTCCTCCTCCTCCTCCTCCTCCTCCTCCTCCTCCTCCTCCTCCTCCTCCTCCTCCTCCTCCTCCTCCTCCTCTCTCCTCTCTCCTCTCTCCTCTCTCTCCCCTCTCCCTTCTCTCCCCCCGCCTGCCGTTGCCCCTCCCTCCCTGCAGCCCCCCCCCCCCCCCCCCGCGGCACTGGTCCCCGCGCCGAGGCCGCGGCCGCCGCAGACGCCGCGGCCGATCCGTCGGCCGCCGCCTCCTCTGGCGCCGGTGCCGCGGGCGACAGGGGGTCGGCTGCACGAAGGATCTCGGGACGACCGACATGGGTCGGAGGAGGAGGAGGAGCGAGCGAGGAGGAGGAGGAGGAGGAGGAGGAGGAACAGGAGGAGGAGGGGGAGGGGGAGGAGGAGGAGGAGGAGGAGGAGGAGGAGGAGGAGGAGGAGGAGGAGGAGGAGGAGGAGGAGCGAGCGAGGAGGAGCGAGCGAGGAGGAGGGTCGGTTAGCGTCGCTTCGCGTCGATTCGGCCTCCATTAGCGTCGAGCTAGCGTCGATCTAGCGTCGATGAGCGTCGATTCGCTAGAGCGGACAAGATGGTATGGGAGGCTCCCATGACTTGCCACCGGACACACCCAGGCCCCCGGCATCATGATTTTGTTGCAACGTGGATCTCGGGACGACCGACATGGGTCGGAGGCTGGTAGACCTCCTACCCTTATGTCGGGCCTGTCCCCCTACAGGGGGATTGGTTACGAAAAATAAGAAATACCCCAAAGATACCCCAAAAAGGTCAACAAATATCCATCCCCATATTATTCCCCACATCCAAAGTGGGGTTCTTGTTTTCTCTGCACACCCCCCGCGCAGGATCTCACACCCTCTCTCTCTCTCTCTCTCTTCCTCTTTCTCGCCATCATCATCATCAGTCATCATCATCATGACCCACGCCTCTCCTCCTCAGCACCATCACACTTACCCATACACCACTCGATCGCTCACTCACTCACTCACTCACTCACTCATCATGATCATCACATGAGGATATCATCCGTTGGCGTCACACATCACTCAGTCAGTCCGTCACTCACTCGAGTATCAAGCGGGAGCGTCGTCTGTGAGTGAATTGCGAGGAAGTCTCAGGCGGGAGCCTCTCCCTATGGGGCCCGCAGATCATCTTACTAATCCGAGGCGGGTCATCGGGATCCTGTAACTGTCGTCACTTTTGGGCTCCTGGGGCGTGAATTTGGAGGAAGTATCAGGCGGGAGCGTCGTCTGTGAGTGAATTGCGAGGAAGTCTCAGGCGGGAGCCTCTCCCTATGGGGCCCGCAGATCATCTTACTAATCCGAGGCGGGTCATCGGGATCCTGTAACTGTCGTCACTTTTGGGCTCCTGGGGCGTGAATCTGGAGGAAGTATCTAGCGGGAGCCTCGTCTGTGAGTGAATTGCGAGGAAGTCTCAGGCGGGAGCTTCTCCCTATGGGGCCCGCAGATCATCTTACTAATCCGAGGCGGGTCATCGGGATCCT